ACCAGCGTGGCTGGCCGACGGGGTAGTGCGACGGGGGTGGCTGTGTGCCGGGGAGTGAGTTGATTTCTTCATAACGGCCGCCATTATCGCACCCTCCGACCGTGCCTCCCGCTTCCTCATTATGTCCCAGGGCGGAGAGGAATATTCTTGTTTCAAAAATAATCGCCGCCGACCAGCTCGCGAATGGCGCCGTTTGTAATTGGAAAAAGTCTCGGCTCGCGTACACGAACTTCTCTCTCTCTCTCTCTCTCTCTCTCTTTCTCTCTCACGCTCTCTCTCTCTTTTTCATCCTTCTTCTTCTTTCTCTCTCGCGCTTTTTTCCGCGACTATCTCTCAGCTGGTTTCTTTTCTCTCTCTCATCCGAAAAGTTTCAAATTTAAAGAGTCCCATCTAAAGTCTGGATTTTTTTCTTTCGCGCGTAAAATCTATTCTTGCAATTTTCTCTCTCTCTCTTTCTCTCTCACGCGTCGAGTGTTGGAAGTTGATAGTTATGTAATTGCATTCTTGCGAACTGCCATCGAGCCTTTTTTTTTCAAGCAATAAACATTTCTCTTTGAGAAGAACTTATTCTTTTCTTTTCCAATCACGTCGTATCATGTACCGATGTACACCTTTTCTCTTTCTCTCTCTCTCTCTCTCTCTCTCTCTCTCTCTCTCTCTCTCTCTCTTTTTCTTTCTGTCTCGCGTGTGTTAAGAATACCACTTATTTATTTGACTTTCCGTCGGAATAAAGCCGCTGAAATTGAGGCTCACAAAATCACGTGCAGATATCGAGAATGGCCGGCCAATCGGCTGCTGGCGCGAGCGCTTTACCGCGATTTCTCATCACTATTCACGCGCGCTACACGACGCCGTATGATATTCCATGGTGGCCGGTGGAGCTATATGGGCGCAGCCGTGGCCCGGTCGACCGGAACGTGGTTTCCATATCGGTTATCGGCGTCGGGGTGGCGGTGCATACATATCGTCCGAGCGCGCGCGGGTATCTCAAAAATTGATGAGAGGATCGCCGCCACGCAAGAGAGAGCTGGATGTATCCAGGTGCCGCATCTCGTATTCATGATAGTTCGCGTGGACGGGATATATCGGGGGATGTGGAAATGGAAAAATCAAGCGTCATCGTGCGGCCGGATCTGGTTGCAGAGACGCATCGCGTTCTGCAGAAAAAAAAAAAAAAAATCAAATCCCGAACAATACGGCACTTATTCACCGCGAAGATAATTTCTCGCGCGTCTTTTCTTTTTAGTCGCTTTCGCGCGCCTCACGTTCAACGACAACGTGTGTGTGCGTTCGTCGACAATGCGAAGTTAATACAATGGAGATATGTTTTACTGCATTTCGTTTTTACGTTAAAAATCCGATAACACAATAAATATATATATATATATATATATATGTATACATAGTCATACGTGACGAGATTGGCTGGGTTGTTGTACAGCGTCCCCGTTGGAAAGCCGCATCCGTTAAAAGCAAAAAGGGGAGAGTTCGGAGTGCGGTTAAACTACCGCAAAGTACCGAAATGTCAGCATTAATATTGCAACCGTCTCTTGCAACCCCGGTGGTAGCTTCTATGCTTATTATACTTATTGTATCGTGCTGCCGGCTTAAATATTAAAATCTCGTTTCCGTCCATGTGCGCTGCATATACGGCAACGCGACGCATTGATCGAGTTTTATGAATTAATCGACTCGCAGTCCCATATAGCAGTCCCGGATAGGCTCAACTTCGAAGCAATCGTACACAAATTTTTTAAACATTATCCGAACAAAAGAAACGCAGTTGTCAACAAAGTTGATTCAGCACATTTATTTAATAATTTAAAAAAATTCCTCTCTTCTAATAAAATTTTTTTTCATCATACGTTAATCATTGACTTGTCGTTTTTTGTTTTTTCTTTTTTTTTCAATGCTTGCGTCTAACCTGTTCGCGCTGAAAAAAAAGAGAAGAAAAATCTCTAATCTATCCTGTCGATAATCGTTCTTTGGCGAAACGAGATTGTAATCGCGAGATAATAGGGGGCTCGACACGCTTCCGTCTTCGCGGTCGCGCATTGAGCTTAACGGGGCGGACTTGCCTGTCCGCGGTATTCGAATTATCGGCACAGGTGCACGTGTACATATGTGTACGCGCTCAATGAGGTTGCGTCGATGGTAGTGCGAGACACGAAAAGCACCTCTGCGCTTGTACGACAAGGTATATAAAGGCCCGCCTGCCCTTTATGAATACCGAGGTGCAGGGAGTTGTATCCCGGACGGTGGCCGCAGACACGCGATTCTGGCTTGGCGCGGACATGTCGAATTAATAAGTGAAAAAGCGAGCGCTGACAACGCCGTGACGTGCTCCAGAATTAATGCCCGGCCGCGGAAATCTCGGCCGACATCGCGGCTGGTCGCGTGGAACGGCATCGATCGAGACCGACGAGTCTCGAAGATAGGACGAGAATTTTATTCGAATCGCGCGCAATAAACATTTTCTACGAGAGATACGTACATAATAATAAATGTGCGTAAAATTAATGTGGGAAATTTAATCGCGCTAAAGAATATAAATATTGACTAAAATAAAAAGCATGAAAAGTAGTTTTAAAAAATTTTTTTACTTGTAAGCGAAAAAAATATTTTAAAAATATCTTCGGTAATTTATATGCGTCGGAAAAACGTCACGTCAGAGCGAAACTCTGTCAATTTCGATTATTGAACCTCTGAAGTAATATCTTAAAAACATGTTGTTGTTAATTAACACATATACAAATGCTACGCGTAATTTTTGCCTAATATACAAAAACAATATAAAAAAAGATAGAAAGCGAATAAGATCGTATTTGTTTGCGTGATATGTGCAACGAAGCAAGAAGTGCATGTGCAAACCGTAACTTCTTTACGGTCCTCCGGAGAGTAGTCGAACGACGAAGGTATATCGTATTTATCCGCGTTCATTCCTATTTAAAGGCGGGGGACGCTCTTTCGACACGGCCGATATTTCATTTTGATAAACAGTTGCATCCGCCGACATCTACCATTAAACGAAGCTTTCCCAGTGACGTAAAAGAGTCGCGCTAAAATAAAGTTAATTTTTTCATACATTAGAACGAACACATTAAAAAAAATATACTCTTTATTTATTTTTTATCTGCACGCGCATTTTATCCGCGTCTTTAGACACAGTTGACGATAAAAATCATCGATCTCGACTGGAAAGATCGAACGCGCGTGATCGCTCGCAAATAGTTCTTGTCATCGGTGTTCTTCTCAAGTATCGATCGAACAATCGATCGACTGTTCCTCGGTAACTGATGAATTATGCATCGCTCCTTCTCTTTTCTGATATGTTTTTGCAAAACTGCAAACTCTGGAAGATTGCCCGGAGGGCGTTATTACACTTGCGCACAAGAGAAACAAGGAGACCACGGCTGCAGATATATATGTATTCGTGCGAGGTCGCTCTTCATATTTAATGTAAGCACGTACCACTTTCCAGGAACTCGTCCTTCGCTCGATGTAATGACAACGGTCCTGTCCAAGGAACTGAACATTGTTTATCGTCGCTCTAGATACGTTAATCGTGTGCAAATCTCAAACCGCGCACACAAGCGAGTGTAAAAGTGTACAAATGCAATTCATTAAATTTATATACGAAGACGCTTCGTCGGATCATTGATCGTTTCTGTGCGCATCTTGTGAAGAAAATAAATTAAATGCTTATATCGATCATTCGAATTCATTACGCTCACGAATTTCCGAGCAATCCAAAATGCGAAAAAGTCAGATTCTCCCGAAATCCTTATCATCCCTGTTCGGGAGTCGTCCAGTAGTCGCGTTACGCGCGGTCGTTACTCGCGCCACTATTTCCCGCACGTAAAGAGAAGACGCGTATATATTCGCTTATATATTTGCGGCGGCTTATCCGGCGCAAACATGTATTGAAATGTCGTCGTAGCAAATACGACGGAGGAAAGGAAGAAAGGAAAGGAAAGGAAAGGAAAGGAAAGGTGGGATTATCTGAATACAGTCGTTTCACAGGAGTGAGTTGCGACCCCCCAGAGAGTAGTAGGTAGTCGCCCCTGGAGTCTGCCCAACCCCCCACAAGAGCTCGTCCCTCTTTGCGGTGTGACGTATGATGGTCATCCTCGTGCCGAATTACTACCATCTTCCCTTTCCTTCCGTCCTTTTTTCGCCGAGGGGTCCGTCAAATAGATTATTTGAATATCGATCGGTCTCATTTGCGGCGGGTCTCCCCATTTTTTCGGAAACTGCGATCGGTGTGGCGACGCACCGGCGACAGAATAATCGCCAGCGTTTTAGCATAATTCGCAGCCTGATTGATAAGTGCGACGCGTCCTCACGCTGCTTCTATTCCATTCGGCACAGATGAAAGCCCTTTGGCTTAAATCGGGACAGATGTGAATTTTCACGGAATAAATGGTGACATCTGTAACGCGATGATCAGACGTTAAGAAACAAAAAAAAAAACAAAAAAACATTTGATATTTAACAAAAGAATTTGCACACTTTAAGAAATAAATCAGACTCTAAATATTCTTAAAATGATAATAAATACAGATGAGAAATATATATTATTTTGTGCGTTTGTATCTGAGTCCTCTATCTTGGATATTGCATATTATTTAATTATTAAAAAGAATACGGCAAGAGAAGAGCATATAAATAAAACATGATATCGAAGATCATTTATAATTCTAATGAAATCAATGTCTTCGTTACTTCTTTGCTTGTTATCCTTATAAAGGGACAGAATGTATAAATCCTTAGCGTACGCGTGTATAATCTTAGCGTATATTTAAAGATATATAAAACTAAAATGTGCGCGCGCGTTTTCTTCTGCCGATTTCAATCGGCTCACGCAAGAAATAGTTGTTGGTGTATCGCGCGCATTACTCTCACAGGAGACGAATGAATTTTCCGATTGACTTGCAGCGCATACAATACATACATACATACGGGACGTATCACTAACGAGACTCTGGTTTTTGTTGCAGGCTGCGAAGTGCTTGCTCAAATCGATAAAGAGGAGCCAGCCTCGCCGGAATCCATACAAGGTGAGTTTGCACAAAGTTTTCATTGTTAAACTCGCGCTTTTGCACGGTGTGCACATAAATTTCGCGCGGGAACAATATATATTTTGCGTACACAGGATGTCTGAAAAATTTTGACCAAACCGAAGTCTGAAGATAGATTGGATTGATCCGAACCGAAAAGTCATGTATCACATTTCGCAAATTTCGCAACAGTTATTGAGCGACAAATGAATACAAGTGAGATATCCAATGAGCGCGTAGAAAGCGACGGTCCGAACTTTGTAGGCGTGTATGATTTTTAGTTGTTGAAAATCAGCTGATCGCAAGAAGCTGCGTCACACGCCACTCTGTAGTTTGCTCCGCCTCTTGCTGTTAGAAGATTGCACGAAGTAAGCCATTTTTCTTTACAATTGAAAATCACGCCTACAAAGTCCGGACCATCGCCTTCAACGCGCTCATCGGATCGTATGTATTACATTAACCATTTAATAACTATTGCGAAGTTTGCAAAATGGTGCATAATTTTTTCGTTTATCCAATCTACCTTTACTTAAAAATTTTCAAACACCTTGTATATTATAACACGAATCTTTTTTCGAAGATTATCTATGATTCTTGTAAAAGAAGTCAAGTTTTAGTATAAAAAAAATGTACACATAATTTTAATTTATTCTGGGTAACACAAAAATGTTTTATTTCTTTTTTAAACCATATGTAAAAATTAATTTTCTATAAAAAAATGACAGAATTTATAAAATCTCGCTACGGAGCGTATCATTGATACGTCTTGAGTTTCTGCATTTGTCCTCGACGATCTGAGAAAAGCTGTTGGTTAATTTGTTTCCACGTAAAATATGTCATAAAACCAATTACCGTTTGGCAAGCACCGCCCACCCGGCTCTGCGCCGGTTTGTCATTTGCCTCGAGGAATTCTCTTGTGGTGCATAACCGGCCTCTTAACATCGGTAGATTATCTGCTAGACCGCCAGTATGCATTTGTGCTGCAAGGAGGACTCTTTTCGTCAGAGTCGTAAAGAAATCGCCCAGAGAGAAAGACATTTATGTACTTCGAATCGGCGATTGTTCGAAAACCTTTGGTTTCACTTCAAATTCTTTCACAGTTTTTAGGAAGCGAAATAGTCTAGGTCTAGACGAACGCTTGCACATAGCGATTTGGCTCACGCAACATTCGGCATAGCTTCACGAGGTTCGTTAAAAGGTTCATGAAAAGGTTAATCTAAACTAGCGCTTGTCAATATATATATATTTTTTTAAATAAAAAAATGCACATTTATTTTAGAGACACACGCAAAAAATTATTATATATAGATTCTAATTAACATAATCACTACATATTTCTACAGTTCTACAATGTTGCCAGTTGCTTTGTGTTTCTCGCGTGTTCGGCAAAACAAAATTTTGTGTAATAAACCTAATAAGGAGAATCGTTAGTTTCTGCGAATGCGCGTTTTGAGAACGACTCGACAAACTCGCAGGGTGTCACGAGATTTGACATGACGTGTATCTGACGCTGTTTCGTAGAAAGCGCGATAATATGAAGAAGATGACAGAATATAACGAATGCCGTCAAATAACTATATCAGCAAAACTGAAAAACTTGAAGAGAAACGTTGCAAACTGCAATAAAATCTCTTTAAATATTGTAACAAATATGTATATATATATATATATATATATTGTTACAATACTTCTATATAACAAAACAATATTTTTTTATGTAGCTGTCGAATTTGTTAATATTATTTAAATTTACGTCAATTAATTATTTAGCGAGACAAAATGAGCTCGATTTAAATTTTGAATAAGACGGCAGGCTGCCTACGATTTCCACGAATAAATTTGCGACTCGACAAGAAACCGACGGTCAGGAACTAACAAAGATGGAGAATTAGCTGACAAAAAATCCACAGTGGGACCGGACTCTCCGAAATACCGAATCGGTCGTAAACAGAGGGCTCGCGCCCCTTCGTGAACAGCGCCTTCTCGCACAAGTATCTGCCTACGATGAGAACAGCGAAGCAGAAGTCTAATGAAGAAGGGGAAGAGAGGACAAACAGGAGCGAGAGACGGAAAACAAAGACGAAATTCGATAAAGCTCAGCGAGAAGAGGGAAAGAAGATGTGAAAAAAAAAAGGGGGCAACATACCAACCGATGTTTTTTATTGTACAGCATTTAGCCCGCGTTGTTTGTCTTATTGCTATTAGTCTCCGTCAATTAGTAATTGCATTTTTAATGCCAATTCCGTGAATCCGGGTTCCTTCGCTCGGGCCCAACCTTGGTGAGTCGCAAGTGGGCCCCGAGTGGACGACCGAGGTGGGGAAGAAGAGTCTCCCCACCTCTTCTCGTGTTCGTCGGTAAGCACCGGTCGCTACTGCTGAGAGGGGGGCATGTCATTAGGAGTCATTAATATCGCGGACCTCTGTAATTTGACATACTTCCGATCGCCTAGCGCCACTACCACTACCGCCATCGCAACCACCCGCTCCATTTTTCTCCTCTGCCTTAGCGTCATCCGTCAGCCCCGCGGCCACCGCGTCGGATCGTCTCTTACCTTTTGCGCTTCCTTCCTTGTGAATTTGCAGCATCGGAAATGACGCTTCGTGGCGTAACATTTGTGTCATTTTGGGACTATTTGCGGTTTTCGCGAAAGTAATCATTAGATCGCTCTTCTTGATTTTTTTTGTGAGAAATAATTAAATTATTTCTCTGAATTATTTTTAAAGAAGACAAGCTACTTTTTTTTGGCGACTTTGCGTTTGATGACGTAAATGTGCGAACGTTTGTATTCTTCTAAGACGCGCGGTTATCTCTTATTAAGCCGTCGTCGGGCAAAAATCGAGACGTTTGATACTCGACGGCGATATGTGTCCGATTATGAAATCGCGTGCGAGCGAATCGGTATAATGCAGCTGCCATTAATATGATCCGCGGACGCTAATCGCGTCTCTAATCGTTTATTCTTACATCGTAGTCGCACACCTGTTCCACCAATATGGTCAGACCACAGATTCTTTTAACGCGGACTTCTTCGAGATCTTTCGAGCGGTCACGTTACTCATCAGACTTTCTAATGTGTAGCGCGAGCGTTTTATTTTCATAACGATACGATGTTAGCTGCTATTAACCACGAGTCTAAGAACTCGCCACTGTCACTATAAAATCAGGAAGAGAAAAGTATATAAGCCGTCATACAACCTGACTTCATATATCGTTTTATAAAACTAAAATGTGACGCGAAACTAAACTTTATTTTATAAATATTTCCGTACTTTTTTGTGTTTAAAACACAACGTGCATGGGAAAAGGTATGATTGGATATTATACATAGTAGTAATAATTAATATAAATAGCTACTATTCTCTCTCGATCGAGTAAATTCAAACTACAAACGTACAACAAACTCATTGCCAACGTTCTAACGTTTAGAATCCAAAGCGAGCGACAAAGGTCGATGACGATGGAAATCTTGAGGGGCCGGTCGAGAATCGATTTGGCATGCAAACGATTCTCACGATAAACTTGCTTGAAGACTGCTCGCTCATGCGGGCACGGACGATAGTATGTCTTCTCTGAAGCGACTTTGTTATTCAAATCGGTTGGCGACCGAAAACGACTATGGAAAACCGTTTTTGAATGTCAAAAATGTCCCTTTTTTCACAGAAATCCTTTTCACAGATTTTGACAGGCCTGAAACGTGCGCACTTTTGCAGATCGATTTGCAAAAATTTGCATTTAATTTCCGAGGATTTTGTTTGACAAAGGTTTTTGATGTCTCGAGTTTTACTTTTTGGTAAACTTAACTTTATATACAATTTGGTGAGGGTTATTATTATACTACTTTATGAATCCACAGTACGGTCAAAAAACTATTTCTCTGAAAGAAAATTACAAAAAAGTTGCATCGACGTACATGTAATGTATCAATGAAGTTTGTTCACTTTGCTATTCGAATCGGGAACGATGAAGCGATCTTTTCTTTCTCTCTTTCTCTCTTTCTTTGTTGAATACAGAAGAACCCCCTTACCTTCTTTTCGAGCTTTTTGGGATTCATGCGTCACGATCGCGGTGGAACAGAGCAAATTTAAATTCCGCGATGGGATTTCTCGAGGATTTTCAGATTTTTATCGGCGACATCGATGGCAGTAAACATCCCATAAACAGAATATGCTAATTTCGATGACCACTGTCTTCCATCTTTTTTTTTTTTATTTATATACTGTACGCATACGTGATATCAATCAATCGACTTTACATTAAAATTGTAAACGCAAACGAATGTCGGTATTTCACTGTCGTAGACATTTAATCAGCCTTATTGCAAATTTATTATTTATTAAACTAATAAATATATATTCGGTCATGAGAGGCGTTCGCTAGGTGTTGTGCGGAAATTATACGTGTATATATATACATATATACGTGTTCACGTGTAAGCCGGAGATTCCAGGTTCGACTCCTGGCCGAGGAGTTTTTTTCGCAATATAAATTTAATTTCAATTAGGGTATTTGGGATCTCTCATATACGAGATGCAANTATAGCATCCTATATGAATTTTAGAATTGTTATTACAATTCGAATTACACGTGTAAAAATTTACACGTATGAACACGTGTATATGTATATATATACACGTATAATTTCCGCACAACACCTAGCGAATGGCTCTCATGACCGAATATATATTTATTAGTTTGAAAACTTCGGAGCCTTAAAGAGATTCTTTAAATAATTAATTATTATTTATTATTTAAAGTTACAAATCAATAGTTTCAATTAATTTTATCACACACTATTTATGACACGAAACTTGGAACGGAACAACACATATATAACACGCGCTTCATCCGCAAGCAAGCAGTTACGCGAAGCGAGTTCGAATCCGTGCATACATCTTGCGCGCAAGAGAGGTTCTAATCGCGTAAGTGGAAATGAAAACAAGTATGACAAGCCTTTCTAAGAAACGAGGGATCGTGCCGAAGATGAACGCAAACCGCGGGA